TAATATGGCAGTTTAGTCAGTGAGTCATCTGATAAGGACCCTAATGTGGAAAAAAACATCACAAAAATAAACAGAACAACCCTTTCCACATGCATACGCTCCATGGTAAGGCTGAGAAGAAATGCTACGGTTGACATGGCTCTTGTAGTGTAAAGCGAAGGCTCAGAGCTCATAGGGGCTCTGGAGAGGCTCATCCTGCAACCTATGGAGCAACTGCCTCTCTGAGCCAGGGATAGATGTGGGGTCTACAGATGCTGAGAAGACCTGGCTCACAGCCAGAGGGTGGCTGACAACCAGGTATCCTAGGAGGGCAAGGCAGGGATACACACCTGGGCTGCTCCGCAGATCCTCTTTCTTTGGTGTTACAAGATAATCGATCTCCTCGTACACAGCCTCATCAAGAGCATCTCTAAAACTGGATAAGGCTGAACAAACCACCAGCAGGTCAGAGATTGCCACCTGAGATGCCCCTGAACCAGTAGGTGATCTTTCATTATCCCAATGCTTACATGTGGAAAAACCTTCAGGGCTGCCAGGACCCCTGTATAGTCTCATACCTATGTACAATGTCTGCACCTTCTGCCTTTGTCTGACCCAGTATCAACAGCTCAGCCCCTGCTCATTCTTGTCTCACATAAGAAGCCTTGACTTATGAGTGTTCACACCCCAACCCTAAGAAGCTCTGTGTATTCAGCCCTGAGAAGTTAATATGGAGCAGATGGATTTTGCAAACTAATGGGGAAAGAACAGAGACCCTGATAGTTTTCCCTTTATCATACCTGGCCCCATTTTCTGCCTGCACACACTTCCCATGTTACCCAGTATGCCTTGCAGCCCACCTCTGCGCTTTGTTTTCCATCTCTGCCACTGAGTCACGAGGATGATGAGGACCAGGAAGAGAAGGGCCCCCAGGATGAAGCAGAGGATTCCAGGCAGGGAGAAGATCCCAGGGACAGGATTTCGGCTTCGTCTAGTCCCTAAGGAAAACAAAGCCAAAAGAATTTGGAGAAGAGCATGGGTGCAGAGGAACTCACTTCAGCATTTCCGGAGAGCTCAGGACAGTGAAGTCCCAGCCTTAGACATAATGGGATTGACTGCGACCCTGGTGGGTACTCCCTCAGGCTGAGTCCTAAAATAAATTCAACTCCATTCCAGTGTGGTCCAAGGGAGTGCTGGGGATTCTCAGGGAGCTTCGGGGGTTCAACAGCCTCTGAGGGTCAGGGCACACAGCTTCAGCCCCTTCTCTTGGCTTCAACAGACCAGAACATCAAACAACCCTGGGATAGGCATCAGCTGCTGAGGAGCAACACTCACGGGCAGGTGGGAAAACCTTAAATTCTGCAACACAAAAGTCAGCCTCTCGTGGCCTGAGGGCATGAGAAACTTCTGGCACAGTGAACCAAGGAAGGGGAAGTTTCTCCAAGGAAAATACCCTAATACTTCCCCAACACCCAATCACTCCTTGGCATCTTTCCTTTCCTGAGTTGGCTAACTCTGTCNTGGAAGTAAGTGGTTCTGCTCTGGGTCATATGATAGAAGAGACACACATATTTTTAAGGACTTGAACTGTGGAACCTACATATTTCTGTCAAAATCAACCATATCAGTATAGGAAAGACCTAATGATCAAGTATTTATAATCCTATGAAGTTGTGGCAGCTGTAATGCTCCAAAGCTTTACTAGTTTTCATTTTATAAAAATCCCTTAGAACCAGATTCAGCTCTGGTTGACAAAGCTCAGGGCAGGACCTGGGTTGATCACATCTTGGGGTGCAAGCAGACTCATTGTATCTGAATGGTGACTTTATGGTCTGAGGACTCAGGAGGTGACTAGGATAAAGGGAAGTTTTCATGGGCTTATGACCCTCTCTAAAATCTCATAACCTTCTTCTCTCCTCAGGCACCAATTCTGGCTCACCTCCAGTCCCTGGCATCTTCCCCATACCTGAGATCCTCTGTATCATATTGGGTGCCCTTCTCTTCCTGGTCCTTATCATCCTGGGGATTCAGCTACACAGATGGAGAGTAGAGCACCAAGGTGGGCCTTAGGGATGCTAAATGATCTGGGAAGTAGTGGGAAGGGCACTGAGCCAGTTGTGATGCCAAGAAAAGTACACAAATATTGGTCTTCATCCCTATTACTCAGCAAAACTCCACCTTCTCTGCAATAGACTTCAAGATTTGGAAGTATTGAATCTTTGGTCCTGGGTTGAATGTAAAACCACTCAAAAATTATGACTTCTTAAAATAAAGTTATGGCTTCCTGTGTGAACAGTGTCAGTGGAATTCAGTGTAGGATCAAGATCAGGGTCAGGAAACCAGGTTCTGTCCCAAAAGTCAGAAGGTCAAAAAAGAAGGCCTAGCAGCCCACAGGGGTTTTTTCAAGGGTGAGCATTGGAGGTCACTGAAGGCTTTGTCTGTTGGTAAAGGGAATATCTCCAGGGCAGTCTCTAAACTCATGCCACTTTCCCCAGCCTTACCTGCTATTGAAGGTGCTGATGATGATGCCTTGTACCAGGAGATTGATTACCTAGTAAAACCAGAGAAGGATGTTTTGAACAGCCAAGGTATGTTCTGTGCCCTCCCCCTGTTCATGAGATGGCTATGGTTTATCTTCAAGTACAGACCCAACCACTAACCCAACCTCACATGGTTAGTCCCCTAAGGTAGGAGCTGCAAGCCCTCTCTCCAGAAGTCTAAAGCTTCAAGATTTTTTCTGAACCATGACACTGACCCTCCTACAATAGGAAAGATTTTTCTGTTTGTCTGTGATGTTTTTCTCCCTGCCAGGTAAACTGTCTGATGATTCAGTGACTAAGCTGCCATATTACACAGGGGGAAATGAGGAGAATGGAGACCCTAAATCTGCCTGATAGTAGAGCTAAGTCTTTCCTTGGATGGTGGTGATGATGATGAGGAATCTCATACAAGGAGAATTCCTCCTGTGATTAGAATGGAAAAGATGTCTTTTCTCTAGTTCACAACAAATTTTCCTCTCTCTGCCCACTCTGTGACCTCAAAAAGAAAAAGATCAGACTCAGTTCTCTGTATCCACAGCTACTTCTACTCAGTTACAAACATGTATCTAATGTATTATTATGGATTCAAAGGCCATTCCTTTAAACATCTGAAACTGATAATCTCAAAAATTCTGTGTTGAGAGAGGACATTGAGAAGTACAGTTGGATCCTGAGATAGTATGATACTTCAATCATTTAGTGGATCATGTATATATATAAAGACCAAAAGTTCCTTTAAACAAACCCTGGAATGTATTGAGTGCTTGGTGCCTGTACTTACCAAATGTCAGAAGCTCTTATTTACAAGGGACCTAAGAGAGGACAATGTCCCTCTGGACCTTCTCCAGATAGTAAAGATGCAGCTCTTGGGATGAGGCATGTCCAGAACGGCTCCTGGGGATTCAATCCTCAGGCCAACCAAGCACTAAGAGGAATGGAAAGCCAGATCACCTGTGATTGGGACAAGTGGGATCTCCTGCCTCTGAGTGATAGATATGCAGGTTTCTCTTTCCCTGTCAGTTTTGTGTCTCCCACAGTTTCAGAAGGCACAAGGATAGCCTAGGTCCAGGTTCATCCTTTTTCTGTCTCTGATATGTGCATATTTTGTGTTATCACTTTGTATCATGTTCTTGAAAATAGTTCTGAAACTCAAAGCAAAATAGCTTTTGTGGATGTTTTATAGTATGAGACGCCATGTTGGAAAATTATTATTGACTTTGATATATTGGAATATTTAGAAGATTTTTAAAAATTCTGAGACTATTGAGATTAAATATATGCCTTTGAGACAATCCCAGAATATAGTATCTATATTTTTTAGCTATGAGAATCCTTGCATTAGAAGGGACTTAGGCTATCACCTAGTCCAATCCATATTTTGCTGTTCCACCTAAGTCCTTGTCTGTTTTCAGAGCCTCTAGGTCAGCATGTCAATGCCACAGGTAATGATTATGATGATGTTGAAGAGTTTCCTGTTCCTGAAATTCCTTCTCCTCCTGGGATGAGGGAGATTTATTCTTTCCCAGAGGAGGGAGGTGGTGCCAGGTATTACCAGACAGGTGAGTGGACAGCTCTGTTTCCAGTAGCCTTACCTCCTTGTCATGGAGAAGATGAGTTTGGACCAATCAATAGTCAGTTTTTCTTTACTCTCAGAATTTGGGTAGCTTTGTATACTTAGATAAGATCAGCTCTTCTTACTCCCAGGTATATTGTAGCTATTTCACCTCTTCTGAGAGGAGAAACATACGGTGTTCTCTGTGACTATGCCCATCATCAATTGATGTAGACATGTCTATGAGTTGCAGGANCTGACCTCAGACTTTGAACGACTTTCCCTTGGCAGAAGAAGGGGACTCACTAGGAGACACTGCAGGGAGCGAGACCTGGCTGATGGATGGGGATTACTAGGAGTCAGCTTTGGGTTTACTCTAAATACAGGTACCATAGGGAATCTCACCCTTGTGGTGGTTCCCAGGGAATGAACACTACTATCATGTGAAAGAACACCGGAACTAAGTAGGATGGCCAGCCTGCCTTCCTTATTTTATCCCTTTTTTGCCTGTGTCTGCATCTCTTCCCTTAATAGCCACATTTGCCCCTGCTGGGTTTGTACCATGGTTGGCACCAGGGAATTTCAGTTCTTTCCACTAGTTTGTTTTATGCTTAGAGAGAAACCAACTGCTTTCTCTTTCATTTAAATTACAAAAACATCACTTACTTATTATAAGCAGGGAAGACACATAAAATGTAAAAGGAGAAATGAATTGTATCCTGTGACTCCTTGCCCATTCGTATCCTCCTGATATAAACCAGATTAATGGACTAGTAAGAACCATTTTCCAAATACATCCATTTTCACTAAAGCATATCCTAACTCACATACCCATAAAAGAATTATGTTGATGGTGTCTTGTTATTTGTTTTTACAAAATTAGTATTAAATCATACACATTATTATTCAATTGGCTTTTATCACTTAATAATATGTCATGGGTAGTCCTCCAGGTAGCTCTAACTCATTTGTAAAACAATGGCAAGTGTTTCATTCGTAAGAGTTTGGTACTACAGTTCATATAACCATTAGCTTATTTATTGGTACTCTGATTATTTTCAATTTTTTCTCCTCTACAAATAATTTTGAAATAAGTATTTTTGCTATGTATCTCTATAGATGGTGAGTTTATTACTATAAGATTACTCCCAATGTTGATATTATTAGATCAAAGGATACACATGTGCACTTGCTCACTTATACAAATGTTAAGATATTGTCAAATTACTTTCTATGGCTAATTATTTTTAATTGTCTTCTTCATATCTAGATAGAAGATGCTGGGATTTTCCTTTTTTTCTTTCTTTTTTAAAATAATTTTTATTGGGTAACAGTGTGTTTCTTTCAGGACCCATCAGCTGCAAGTCAAGTCGTTGTCCTTCATTCTAGTTGTGGAGGGCGCAGCTCACTGACCTATGTGGGAATCGAACTGGCTACCTTGTTGTTCAGAGCACACGCTCTAATGAGCCACGTGGCTGGGATTTTTCAATAAGTTGACTGTTACACTAAAGCCAAATCACATAGAAGTTACAAAATCAAAAGGCTTATGAAGCCCACAAATATCATCCTAAGATATTTGAAGTCTGAATAACAATTACAGTTGCTTTGCTCTGATTTCTTTTTCCTTACTTCTTTCCCTCACTCTCTTTCTTTCTCTCTCCCTCTTTCCTTCCCTCCCTTCCTTCTTTATTTTTTTCTTTTGCATTTTCACAATGTTTTTCCTTCAACATTTCCTTCCTGCCCCTTAGTTTGTCTTCCCTTCCCTTCCCTTCACTTCCCTTCCCTTCCCTTCCCTTCCCTTCCCTTCTCTCTCTCTCTCTCTCTCTCTCTCTCTCTCTCTCTCTTACACACACACACACACACACACACACACACACACACACACATCAGGTATACCTTGGACAATATGCTGGGAGTTGCCTGAATTCCACAGCTGAGAGAAATAGATATTTCAAAGGCAGAGGCTCACTCCCTTCCTTGTCTCTCTTTCTTCACCTCTTTTTCTTGCTCCTGTGGAAGACTGAAGAGATATTAAACTATAAGACCTTCTATTGATGATAATTTTCAATAATCAAACACAATGAGTTGAGAAGTAGTGAGGTCTCCAGTCCTGAAAGAGAGCAGCCACCCGAGAGGTCGTGCCATCATTTTCAGAGAGTTCTCTGCATAAAGTAGGAGGTTTGTAGGATGATATGGAAAGATAGATGAATTCTAATGTTTTATGGCAAGCACCATGTATACTTCTGTTTTCTTGTGTTGTTTGAATTTATGTCTATTTTCTTTGGTTTTAATTCTTATATCTGTTTTTTTCTTTTGGTTCCATCTTTGTGTCTTCTTAATGTAGTTTTTCTTAGTATATTTATTTGAGCCTCATGCAGACATTTCTGTCTTACTAGCTAGCTGTTTGTCTACTTATCTATCTTTCCCTAAATTCTACTTAGTGTAGTGCTTTAAAAAAGGTTTCTGTCCCTATCGTAGTTTCCTTTGCTTGTTCATGTTACACTGAAAAACAGATAACAAAAGTTTACAATCTGTTGTATAATTTCCCTTTAAAAGTATAAGCAGATTATTGAATGCAAATTACTTCTATAATTCTGGACTTAGTTGTTTTTAATGTCCACTGTTTATTACCACAAGCCGTTATCATTAATTTATATTTCCTTTATTATCTTACTGATTAGCAAGAATTTAGTGAATTATACTTCACTGGATTTTACTCATCTATTCATTTCTTCAACAAATATTTATCATCCCTTATACATAGCATTTATAGAAGATTCTCAATGTATTGTATATTTGTTGAATGAATGCACACAATGTGCCAGGCACTGTCTTCATAGCAGAAATACTGAGGTGAATAAGATATGCAAGGTCCTTCCTCAATGGAGCTTTCATTCAGGTGTGTGTGTGTGTGTGTGTGTGTGTGTGTTATGGAATATGGAAAGTGATAAACATGTAAACAGATAAAGTAATTTCAGCTGGTGATAAAGGCTAGAATCCAGCCAATGTCTCAGTAACTCAGCCCATTATATTAATCATGAAGCCTGTGTTTTCACTTGTCATTGGACTGAGCCAAGGACCTTTAATAATCTTGTTTGAGAGAACACCCCCACCCCCACCCCCAGCACCCACTACCAAGACCGCAGCTGTCCCTGATCCAGTGCTTCCCCATTGTCTGCTTCTGCAGGAATGAGACCCAAGAGCTGCCCAACNCTCTTAAGCTAATTCTTAACCACTGAGCCATTTGGCCGGCCCTCTCAGTTCTTATATTAGTTCAGCAGCCCCTCCACACATTCACATGTGATGGAGTGTTTTGAAGATGAAATCTTTACTTGGCCACTGCTACAGAATAGCTCTCTACCCTAAAGAATCAAAGCAGGATCATGTTTGCTTTTTAAATAGATACCAGGTAAAAGCAATCTTGCAGCAATATGTTTTCAGAGAAGAAACTCACTGGTCTGGAAATCTTCCTCTACCAGTTTAATCATGGAAGACCCTTCAATCCACATCTGCAAAACCCATGTAGCCAAATTCCTGATTTTTCTGTCTATATTCCTTCTGGATCTTCTCTGTTTATATCTCCTCTTCCTTGCTCTCTTTCCCACTTGGATGCAGGTCTGTAGGTGAGCGCCCATTTTTCTTCCATCAACTTGTGGTGAAGAGAGCTATGAGTTGATGTGATTCATTTAGAAGGCTTTATAATTGGACAGACAAGAAATAACAATGTCCTAAAGAAATAAGAGGAAGTGATGAAGTGGAAAGTCTGAATTTAAAAGGATTTGATAACCAACTAGACATGAAAGGGTGAGGAGTCTATATGAGCTTGAGTGATAAAGGGAAAAAAGTAGCCTAGGGAATTAGAGATTAAAAAGGAAGAGACAGTTGTGTAGAATTACATTTTTAATTATTCCATGAAAATTTGGGCAGAACAAGAAAAAGTGTATTAATTCTCTCCCACTAGCCAAACTCCCATCTTCAACTTTGAAACCCTAAACTCACACCCAAGTCTGGTGTCTAGGAATAGTTTAAAAACTATTATAATGTGACATCTCAAGGAAGAGCATATATGAATATTCAGGGATTTTTTTTTTCATGAGTGCATCTTGATAGGAATGAGAGTGTGAGTGAGGACCAAGTTTAGAGTCCGTTGTCTAAGTAAGAATGACCTGGAACATTTGTGAGCCTGGGCAAAGTAATACCTTGAGTGCCTTGTGGAGAAGATGAGAAAGCAGGACAGTTCACTCACTTTGTATTTCCTTTAAGGGAAACTGACTCAGGACCAATCTTCTAAGAGCAGTTGGATGAAACTTATCAACAGAGCAAAAAGTACTTTATTCAGAACATTATTTTTTGAGCAATTCCCATATAATATAGTTACAGGTCAGCACTACTCTATTGGAATACAGGCAATTAGAATATCTGGGGCCTTGTCTCTTTTTTTAATACAACATCATTGGAAACACACTGTAGATGTTCCATCCGCACTTAATTCAACGTCATCATACCCAGGGTCCCCTTTTTCCCCATGGAGCAGCCAGGGGCTATTCTCCTTTCCGACATCAGCTGCCCCTCTAGGGAAGTGCAGAGAGGAGCCTGCAANAATTTGCTCTCCACTTTCTATCTATACTATCTTTTGTTCATCTAACAATATACATGTAGATTTTAGGACTCTCCCATCCATACGTCCATCTGCTTTGAGCGTCTCCTCCTCATTTTCTAGCCACTCAGCGCCCCCAAGCTCCATTCTCTTATTCCTCAATATGGAAAGACTGTGGCTTTCTGCTTGAGTTCCAGCCACTTGTGCTGCAAGCCAGGCATTTCACTCAGTGCACTTTACAGCTTTTAGAAGTTTACTTTCTCCAGCTTTTACCTAAATTTCATTACTCTCCAATATCTTCAAATAGTTGTGATTTATGTTTTTTCCCAGAGTTCATAGTTGTTATCTTTGTGAAAGATTAGTCTAATCTAAGGTACTCTGCCATTTCCAGAATTCCCACCCAATGATTTAAAACATGAAGTTAGTGAAGATTAAGTTACTCTTCCAAAGTTACAGCAGAAAACAATTAAAAATAAAAGCATTCGATAAAGCCTGGAGGTTCCCATTTATTTATATCTACAACATTTAAATAAGGGTTGAAAAGTTGCCCCCTTTAGCTGCACAAAAACTAGATCCATCTTGCTTTAAAAAAAGAAAATGAGGAGAAAAGGTATGCAAAACTGGTATTTTCAAATTTGGACACAGTAAAGATATCAGTCAATTAAATCAAACCCTTTATTAAATAACCATTAACATCACTGGAAAGAGAACACTAAACCCACTAAATATGTAATGATATACCCTGCAAAACCACACACT